GTGGAAACATGACTCCCTAAGATTCCTTTGAAAATCTCAGCCCAAATGGCTCATGGTGCCTTGGGAACTGATCTTTGATCTTAGTCTTGGTGCCATGCTTTACCCTCCAGTCCTCCTTCATAATAAAGTGCAGAAGGAGCCTTGTTTCCACTGAGGCAGTCAGACACCCAAGAAGCATCCCCACAAGTGTGCACGTGCAGTTTGCAGTGCTGCAAACCCGTCTGTGGCACCCCAAACTGCATGCATTTGCCATGCTGCAAATTAGCAGTATGGCAAGGGTTTTTTGACACCAGGGATTCTGGTGTCCAAAAAAATGCAAAGTGGTGTGGCACATATGGCTGCATTGTGTGCTTCCCAAAACCGGAACCTGGCCAGCTAGAACCACACTTCAGCTGTCGGCCAGGCTTCACGCTCGCAGATTACCACTGCTGCATCCCTGGGAGGCCCCCAGAGGCTCAGGTAAGGCTGCTGGGACCAGCTCAGGTGCTTCGGCTACCCCACCTGGGGCAACTAGCTGTAGCACAAATATGTTCCATACTATTTATCCCCAGGGAAATGCACATACCCTTAGAGGCCTAACATTTTTCTGAACATACAAAACCAACTGGAACTAGAAAAGCAAATGACTTCAAAAAAATCTCTAAAAGTTCAATTATGACACCCCCAGCTTGGAAATGAAGGCATGGAGCAGCTCCTTGAACATTAACTCCGCTTCCAGTTATATGTAGTTACACAGTAGCACAGGATTTTTTATTTTTACTTTTGCTCACTGTGCTCTCGTGGGTTATGAAAGTTTGGCCTGGGTGTTTTATTGTCGTGTTGATGTTTGCCCAATAACATGCATGCAGTTGAATAAAATCTGAACAAGTCACCTGGCTTTCAGTTTGCACTGTGGAAGGGAATTTTATGAAGGGCCACATTCACAGAGGCACTTCAGTGCATTGTTCCTACTGAGGTCCTTACAGTTCAAATCAAGGTGCTACAATACTTTTGTAGATCTGGCCATGGATCCTTATAAGATATTAGTCCCATGCGGAGGCTGAAACCTAGCACAGGGCCATCTCAAAGGAAGAGCAGGGACTTTCAGAAACAACTGGCAGTTTGGGCTGCCTTGTTTTCTGGGTGCCTCTGACATTTTGCTCTTTTTATGGCCCCTCAGGTTGACCACCTGAAAGCTGCATTTGAAAATCTTGTCTGTGAGCGTATGCTCCCCATTCAACTTGGGCTCAGCCTCTTGGCATAGCAAGGAGACTCCAGCCCTGGGGCCCAGCACTGTGTTGTACATGGTGTCTGAATTCATGCTTTCTTTAGAAGACTCAAGGGTGGCTTTGAAGGAGTGACTGTGATGGGAATGCTTAAAAATCCCTGCTAAGTAACAGGGAACTCTAGCCCCGCTGTGGAGAAGAGAAGAACAGGTTGGAGAAAGCAGCATCCCCCCTTTAAGGCTACAACTTTTGTTTCCCAAGGGTCAGTGGCCTGCAGAGGGGAAGCACTGACACCCCAGCCAGAGGGGCAGGAGCACCAGCAAAACAGGAAAAGCACCATGGGGTGGTGGCAACCTGCAGGTAGAAGCAGGAACAGCCCACAGAGGCACAATGGGCTCAGAGCAAAGCTTTCCCCACAGCCCCTTTGGTTTTGCAAAGCCCAGCCTGCAGCTAGTCAGTGGCAGAAAACAATAGCAGGAAGGGAAAATAGGGCAGTGGTAGCACCTGAGCCAAGTAAGCAGGGGGCCCATCACCTGACTGAGTGGGGAGAGTTAACTGGGATATAAGGGGCAAAGGGGGTAGCCCCAGTGATGAAGCAAGATGGAGCTACCCTGAAAGACAGGGACCCAGGCAAGTCCTGCAAGAACTGCTGCTGCTGCTGCTAAGAAGAAGCATCTGCTGGCAGAGTGTGAGCGAGAGCCCAAGGGGTGCAGAGAACTGGGAACTTGTCTGTTGTGTTAACTCAGGAAGGGCCTTGGGAGGGGAAAAGTGAAGGCACACAGAGTGCACTGGACTGGTTAAACCCCAAAGGGGCCCTGTGGACTGAGTGCATCCAGTGGACTGAGGATGGTTCAGATGAGTCCAGGAAGGCTCCATGGGGTGGCTGCAACTTTCTGACACCTAAGAACAAAGTGCTAGCACCCCATCAGGGCTGTGCTGCCTATGTCAACAATGTACTCATCTTTGCATCTGAATGGGAAAAACACCCTAAGGCTCTCAAGGCTGTTCTCCAGAAGTTGCGAAGGGCTAGGCTCATGGCCAACCCAAAAAATTGTGCCACAAGGAAGGAAGAGGCCCAGTATTTGAGATTCAGTGTGGGTGAGGCCAAATATGTCCACTGCTTGATAAGGTAGGGATGATTTATGTTAACCCAGCAAGGGTGTTTCCCCTGTTTATGTTTCCTCTGCTCAGTGTTGATAACACCCTGTGAACTGCAATGGCTATGAAGAGAGATACAGACACTGCAGAGCAGCGTACAAAACACCCACCCCAAATATTTCTTCTATGGCTTTGGGAGTGGGGTGGTATTAACCCTTTCCTATTATTTTGTGGCAGTCTCAGAGGGGAAGTAGGCAACTGCCTCTGCCATTTGGAGGCCTGGAAGGGGCCTGAAGCCCCACATGGAGGGAAAGAAAGGCATCCTGGTATTACCCAGATGGGTCAGTAGCCAGAGAAGGAGGAGGGGAGGCAAGGTATTCTCAGCTAGACTCCAGTTACCTAGAGGCAGCCTAAACAACATACTAACTATAACATCAAGGCATGGCAGAAGGGTGAGAGGAGCCAAATTTAGGGGAAGCAGGGAAGGGTAGGCAAATGGGTGCTGCTGTGCAGCTATCCGGGGGTGCTACAACCATCCCTGGGGGTGCACCTGTTACAGCAGCACTCTCTCCTTCTCTCCACTTCCAGTGTGTAAGCAGCAGACTTTGATCAGGAGAACAGCACTTCGTTCTCTAAGAGCTGTGGATTCAGGTTGATCAAGAACCCAGTCCATACAACATATGACAGTCCCAGATCAGTGGTCAGAGCCACAGCTAGTACATCACAACAGCACTTCCCACAAGCTGCCAGTTCACTTTCAGATCCTAAGCATCTTCCTCAAAGCTCTGAATGCCTTGGGAGTCCTTGTCCAATTACTTTGGCAAAGCTTTCTGCCACTTGTTGCACTGTTGAAACGCACTGGGTTTTCAAGTGAAGAGAAACAGGAGGGTTGGCCATTTTCAGATCTGCACCTCTGATCAAAGTGCTGTTTCCCCAGACAAACTTTCTGAATACTGACACCACGGCCACATCCCCACAAGCAGGAACATGCGGTTGGTAGTGCCTCAAAGCTTTTGAAATGCACAAGATGCCTGTCATTCTGTTTTGCTACACTGCTTGTTTGCAATACAGTGGCAAAATTGGGTACTGGAAAATGCCAGTATCTAAAAACCCCGCAGCAGAAAAAAGCAGGATGGTTCACGCATTTGCAGTGCGTGCCACGCAAAACTGGAGCCTGGCGGGCCAGAGCAATGCTCCAGCTGCTGGCCAGGCTCCACGTGCCTGGATCACTGCCACTACAACCCTGGGAGGCCCTCAGGACACCACCTGTGTTGGCCCCAGCCTCCCCTACCCTACCTGGGGTAATTTGCCATGCACCAGAGCACACATGCAGAGGCGTGCCCAAGCACAACTAGCAAGAGTACAAATATGTGCCACTGCTGTTTGTCCCCAGGGAAATGCATGTTCCCACTCATGGGGATGCACTTCACAAGCTATTTGAAAAATGACAATGAAATAAATAATCAGGGCAAAGAAACATTTTAGTTACTCCTGGAGAATGGAAAAAGGAAGTGGTTACAGGTAGGCAACAGATGCTTTTCTGTGACTTCTCTGTGGTTGAGAGGAGCTACAGGTAGGCAGCAGATGCTTTTCTGTGACTTCTCTGTGGTTGAGAGAAACTGTGGTTCCTCAGATTTGTTAACTCCTGCATTCTTATCTGCTGGCAAGTACCAAGCAGTTAAAAGGAAAGCTTGAAAGAATTAGGAATTATTTAGCCTGGAGAAGATAAGACTGAGGGGGGGGGATTTGGTAACAGTCATCATCTGCTTTACAACAGAAAGAGTTGTAAAGCAGATGATGGTCAAATAATAGACAAGAAATAAGAGACGTAAATAACTGTAACAAAAGAAGATTTAGACTGGATATGAAAAAGAACTAATGATGAGGGTATTTAAACACTGGAACAAATGACCTAGAGAGGTAGTAGACGCTTTAAAGTACGGGTTACACAAGCAAATAAATGGATCATTTAGGAAGGGATGATCCTGCCTCTAAGCAACAAGATAGACAAGTTGAGTAAGTTAGACCATCTCTTCCAGTCCTAATTTTCTATGATTCTATCCCACTTTTTCATTTCAAACAGGCATGAAATGTCAAACTTTCATTTCTAGTGCAATATCAGTAGGAACTTGACGGTGCTGAAGTTGCTAAATACCTTAAATATATGATGGTCAAGTGCTTTCATCCACTGAAACAAAACATGCAAAATTCTTGGGGGAAGATCTTCAGAAAATCTGATCTCGCTTCAGGGTGCTCAGCTTTTAGGAAAATCGGGTGTGTGTGTGGGTGTGTGTGTGTGGGTGTGTGTCTCAGAGTTAAGGTTGCTTACAGTATTTCAGTTATCAAACCTTTATTAAAAATATAATTACATTTCACCCCTAATTTTGAAATGTGTGAAAACTAAACATATTAATGACTACTATATTATTTTAATGTCTTTTATCTCTCTCTACAGTTTTAATTGACATGCTCAAGCAGACTCAATTAATCGAGTCTGCTCCAATGTGCTGTATTTCCAATGCATCAGAGCAAGCTCTCTGCATATCTGTAAGGGCCCTTTTGGTTTATGTTCCCTTTATTTATAAAGATTCACTTAAACCATAAATTGAAATATTAATGCAGACCATGTTTACTGAAGAAAGAATATTCTTCTTTATTTTAGTGGGGCCTATATGGTTATATGTTGTTCATCTTTGCCTGCTCTCAGTAGGCAAACTTTATGTGGAAGGGGAAGGAAAGGGAAGGCTTGTATCACTGCAGGCTATGCACTTGTTCAATTTTTTACTGTAAAGCTTTTTGTTTGCTGACAGCCTAAAGACATTGATAATGCATGAAGGATGTTCCTCCACAAATTGTATGACACAGAATAGCAGTCTCTCGAGCAGGACACTTCCTGATTTTACAGCAGCAAAAAAAACAAAAAAAATCTGTGTATAAATAAGAAGTTTCCCCATCCGGCATCAGAGCTTTCTGTGTCTGAGCTACGATGTCTGGAAATCTAGTCTACGCTGATTTGGAATTCCCGAAGTCAAGGTCAACCTCACAGCACACTAGTAAGTGGTGGTTTTAATTTTCTTTCTTTTTTTCCCCTCAGTGTTATGGCACACTTGGGTTGCTGTCTGTTTTTATGCTGGGGTTCTGTTTCACTAGAGGTGTTCTGGGTTTGTTTGTTGGGGGGTTTTTTCCTCCCTACGCTGACATACAAATGTTCTTTATGGTCACTAATCTGCCACAATAGTTGTAATGGACTGATAACATCATTAATGTGAACCCTTTCATTTCTAGACTGATAGCTAACCAACATCCCCTTTGTTCACTTGGGGTAACTGGGGCATAAAATGCTAAAGCAATGTACACAACATCACACACAAAGTCAGCGATGGCGATGGAAACAGACCTCGGGTCTGTTTAACCAGCTCAGTTCCATCTAGTTAGTGCAAAGATGCTGACTTACAGATCTGGCCTTCTGTGTCAGAGAAGCAAATATCCCAGCTCACATAAAAGATTAACTTCTAAATGGTATGAGCTTAAATGTGGCATTTGCTCAAAACAGTCTCCAACTTGGTGAAAACATGGAGATGGCTTAGACAGGATGCTTCGGTCTGAGCTGGGGGTTGAACCCAAGGACCTGCTAAATTCCCTTGCAGCCTTTGTTTGCTATTAGTCCATGAAAACTCCCAGTGAAAAGCCTGCTGGGATGGGAGGGAGAGGAGAGGAGTGACTGGCTGGAACAAAAGAGATGAAGGGGAAAGTTAGCTTCCTCTTACAGACTGAGTTTTACAAAGCTACCTATGCGATTTGTGGTGCCTAAGTTTCATTAAATAAAAAATGAAATTAGACATCCCCAGTTCTGTAGGTGGCTTTGAAATCCATTTTAGCTTGTACTTGAAAAGCTATGAATTTCAAGAGCCGTTAACTAGCAGCAAACAAAAAAAGGGGGGGGGAACAAACGGCTACAAAACCAGGAATGATAGCAGCTAAATAAAACATTTAGAGGGAGAATGAAGGCTAGAATGACAATATTAATTAATATTATTAATCTTGAGAAAGCAGTGGAAATTCCCACAAGTCTATTGCACTGAATTTGTCCATCAAGAATAAGAGAGTGCACAGCAAGTGAATGGCCAGTTACCGCTAATTTTAGCAGGGCATAAACCCCAGTGCATTGCATCAGCTTTCAATGTATCAAGTTCTTTCCTTGCTAATATTTTATCAGCTTGTCTTTTGTGGGGGTTTTTGGAGGGTTTTATTTTTTAAACCCTTCCCATTTTCAAATGTTTTTCTCCTCGCCTTCTGAGAAAACCTTCCATCTGACGATGAATAATATTTATGTATACAGCCAAGAGACTGCCCCATTATCTGACCCATTCTGCTGTGCCATTTCTAAATCCTGATTTCCTTCTTTCTTCTAATACAAATTGGATCCCTGCAATATCAACTGTAGCTTTCATGTTTCTAAAAATCTCCTGTGCAGAGCAAGATGAGAGGCTTAGGGATTGGTTTGTTTGGTAGCTTTTTTTTCAATCCGAAAAAACAGACCAAAAGGGGTCAGATTACCCGCTGGAGCAAACTGGTGTCATGACATGGGTCACCGGGCCAGCTCTTCAGCCGGTGTAACTCATCATGCCACCCATGCCACCCAATTAGACATGCCACCCAATTGCTTAACTGCATTTCGAGAAGTCAGACAAGCAGATCATATGAGTTAAGGCCTGTTTTGCTTCTTACCATAATAGTATGAGAAAGGCAAAGCAGATGTTGCAGAGTGCCTCTGGCATTTGGTGACCAAAAGGACTTCCACTATCATAAATTTGTTACCTTCCCTTGTTTTGCCATCTTCCTGTAAAACCACTCTGCTTCCTCAATTTAATTAAACCCCAGGCTCAGGGCCCTTTCTGTCGACATACATCTCAAGCCCTCCCCCCTTGCTGCTGTTTTTCTCCTTCTAGTCTCTTTGCCTTAGGGATGCCATCCCATCTGCTCATTTCCAGCCCTTGCTTCTTCACTTATACCCTTACTCTCCTTAATTTCCTTCCCCACACCACACAAGCATGCTGTCATCTCTCCCACCCTTCTACCCACCCTTGATGTTTTTTGTTTTACCTCTCCAGCTCCTGTCCCATATATATGCCTCTTCCCCACCATCCCCTCTTCCTTTAAACTCATTGAATGCACTATCTACAACCAGTACCTGGACTTCATCTCCTCTCATTCAGTCTTAGGGCCTCTCCCATCTACTTTCTGCCCCCTTTTTTTCCCCTGAAATGGTACCCACAAAGTGTCTAATGAGCTTCAGCCAAAGCTGGGAACCAGCACCCCCTCCTCACACCTTAACCTGTCGGCCATAGCCAATCACACCCTTTGCTTCACAAAATCTTGTCCTCCCCTTGGGTTTCCATGACTTTACCCTCTCCTGGTTCTCCTCTCTGTCTCAATGCCCCTTCAATATCTCTTGCAGAGGCTCCCCCCTTCACTTTCTAGTGGGGGGTCCCACAGGGCCTTGATCTTGGTCCTCTTCTCTCCTCCTCTACTCTGGATCATCTCATCTGCAGACAAAAGGTCAACTGTCACCCCTATGGGCATGGCTTACAGATCAACCTCTGCCACCTCCTCTCTCTAACATCTCATTCATGTTTCATCATTAGCCAAAACTCTACACGGCTAAACACAACGCACCATTTCCCGGCCAATTCTCTCTCATTTGCTGTGCACAGCATCACCACCTGGCTTGTCCCTCAGCTCTGTAACCAGGGTGCCATCTTCAGCTTGGATCATTCTTTTCAAATCCTTCCATTGAATTTTTGCCAAAAATCTTTTTGTATAATACCTCTGTGATACAGCATTTCTTGTCCACCCACACAGCTAAACCTCTCGTGTAAGTGTTATCTTCTTGCATCTTGATTCCTTTCCTCTGGTTTGAGCAGTACTACTTGTCCTTTCCTTTGGTTTAAGAAGTGCTATCTTTCTCCAGGCAGCAAAACTGCTGTAAACATGACTTTCCTTGCATGCTGTTGTGACAACATCACTCCACCTGTTTGAATCCCTCCACTGGGTTCTTCTCCATCACATGCATTGTAATCTGCTTGCCTTTCATGACCTATCCCCACCTGACCCTGACATCAGCTATTCACTACTGAGGAGTTAAGCTCCCAGCCATGGAACTAGCAGCTTCCCTGGCTCATTTATTACATTTTCATGCCAGAGCTGTGCACTCTCTCGCTCATGCTGCCCCTCAGAGCTGAGAAACCACCTCATTGCCCCCCACTGTAGTGATCACTGCAGGGTTTGGTGAACACAGTCAGGCATGAATGAGAAGAACAAAAACAACCTGTTTTATTGTGGAGCTGTAGACAGGCCTCTGCGGTCTTTTTTAGACTAACTACCTAGCTACTCCAGCTCCTAGAAGCGTGTGATTACAACAGACTCTAAGCTTGCATTTGTCATAAAAAGGATGTGGTTTAACTTCTTGAATGCTAAAAAGAAAAGCTGTGTAACTAACTCAGCAATATCTGACTGAGCCCAAAATACTCTGAGAGGCAAGAGCTGCCCCGTGCATTTCTGTGGGGTGTTAACTCCAGACCACACTGCTCCATTAGCTGCACCAGCTTCACTCCACCAGAAGTTTCTGAAAGGGCTGAGCTTTTATGGAGAAAGACCACAAGAGTCTCATCCATATAGCTCAACTGTATGATAATCAGGTGGAAACACTTGTTAAAATAGATAAACTCTGAACATATAACAAGAAGTAATTCTGTGCAGGTGGGATAATATGAACTGCATGGGAAAAAATGGGGTTTTTTTCCCTAACTCCAGCATTTACAATGTTCATGTTCTCCTTTATCCTGTTTCTTACAACAGTTGCTGATGGTGTTTCACTAAACATTGACTATTTCAGGTTCTTCTCAGTGTCCACGCCGGCATTGGATTGCTTTAGGACTTAGCTTGGTTATTAACATCATCCTGATGGGAACAGTCATAGGTCTGGGTGAGTGTCCCCAGAGAATTCATTCCTCTGTATGTCTGCATGATGTATGGTCCCGCTAAAACTCCAGCGCGGTTCCATGTTGGATTTTCTCCTACTTGTTGCTTCACTGCTCTCAACCAATATCACTGGCTCTTATGATCTTATGAGTCCCATGTTGCCACACTGTGCTCCAGTAAAAGAGGAAACTGATAAGAAATCAGCTTCACACTCCAGTCAGATACTTGCCTTGTACAAATCTGCAAAGTCAATGGAGCTACAATTCTACAGTGAAGAATATGGCCTTCTCTGCTTGCTTCAGTAGCAGAAAAGACTTAAGTCCTGCAGGTGATAAACAGAGTTCTTGTTTGCCAAAGGAGTTTCACATGCAAACCCTGTACTGTAATTATTGGTATGAAGAGCGAGCCTAGTCCCATTTGAAATGTTATATAAAGTTGCTCCATTGATAATAGTCACTTTACACTAGGGGTGGACACCCTTGTAACTGCTGGGAGGAAATTCTTCTAGTCTAGATAAGATCACAGAAAAGGGGACTCTGGGAGTGGGGGGATCCAAATCCTGCCCCCACTGCAGATGCACTTCCTGGCTGGACTGCCGCTGAAGAGCAAAGCAAACAGGAGGGAGCTGTCCCAAAGCTCCCACAATGGGTGACACATCTGGGCCTTCCCCATCTGCTACCCTAAACCCTGGTGCATGCACAGCACATGCAGACACAGGGCTGGTCTGCCTTACAGGGCTGCAGCCATCACAGATGTGAAAAGAGGTACAGCACACCCCCTTGGGAGAGACAGCACAGGGCAGTAGATGACAGAAGCCAAGCTAACAGGAGCCCTCAGCTGCTGTCATGGTCATGATCAAGGCAGACACTGTTTACCAGTGTCAGGAAGTAGGGGGGTGCTCTTTTCATGCTCCCAGTCCACATGAACCATGCTAGAAAACTTTGTAGTGGGGACTAAGTCAGACAGGTAACACTAGCACAGTGGGCATCGCCCTCTGTCTCGAGCAGTTGGTCTGTTACAGGGTAATAGCCTACTATGGCCAAGAGGTGGTGGCATTCATCCTTTTGCCCTAGTGATGCCCCATATGGGAAGAGGAGTAGAACAGAACCAGGCACCTCCTCCTTAGGAAGGAGGGCCATAGCGCACCCCTACTGTTGGCCATAGTTGGGGATGGTCCTGCTTTGACCAGGGGGTTGGATTAGATAATCTCCTGATGTCCCTCCCAACCCTAATTTTCTGATTCTGATTCTATGCTTCTATCCTCCCCTTTCCAAATCTGGTTGCACCAGTGATGCTTCCCTATGGCATTTCACGCTCAAAGCTCATGGATCCAGGCTCAGCAGCATCCCCTTGGTTATATTAACTCTGAAAACAAACCAAAGATTCAGCGTTCTTCAAAGATCAACCCCAAAACCAATGCCCTTCCCAAGATGGCATCAAAATACAAGGCCCCTCATGTGCAGCTCTGAATAGTAGGTTTTTTCCTCCTTTCCTGGGCATCTTGACCAGCAATAAAGTAAGTGCCAATGCTGATGGCTAAGCCAGCAACATGAGGTTTCAGAATCAGTGTCTCTTTGCGAATGAGAATCATTCTTAATTCTCAAAGATATGAAATCATGAATGTTGCCACCCTATGAAACTTGTAGAGCTGTGGACACTGGGTATTTCAGAGGAGGTCCTTGCCCCTTATGGCTACAAAGGAAGTCTCAGAGCACGACCTGAAAGTATTTATATGAGTCTGCAGAGAGTCAAAAACAAGAGCTCTGACAAGTATGAACTGCCCACAGTCATTTTTTAAAGAGATGTCAACTCTGAAACCTTTAGCTGCAAACATCATTAATTATCTCATGGCTGGTCAAAACGCACACAAAAAGAAGTGTCGATCACAGAAAGATCTGCCCAGAGCACTGGAAATGGCACCTTAATTTATCAATCCCAGAAATGCACTTTTGTCCCTGATCAGAGCTGGAAAAGTAGTAACGCTAGCTTGGCTTTCCCTGAGGTCACACGCTGGATGTGCAAGCTTGGTTCCAAAATAGCACCTGGCCACTCACATGAATGCCTTTGTGAAGCTTTACAGGTAAAAGAGAACAGCGGAGAAGCCCTGGCTGCCAAACAGTCAGAGTTGAAGCAGGAAGGCAGCTGCTCCTGCCCAGAGGATTTCAAGGCCTCCAAGATAAACCATTTATGTACCTCACAGCAATGCAGCACAAAAGGTAATTCCCCCCCGCTAGTGCATCCCACATTACTCATCCTAGGATCACAAAAACTGCCTGCTTGGACTGGCCTGGCATCCACCTGTAGCTCAGCAGTCTGTGTCTGGCAGGGACTGGTCCCATCTGCCTCCATGAAGCAACACCAGCTATGGAATGACCCTACCCAAAGAGAAATGTCTCCCCAGCCCAACAGTTCATGTCCTGAGCAGAAGAAATGATATTGCTGCTCATGGCCTTGCGTATGCTTTTAAGCTTTTCTGCTCCCATAATCCACACACATCCCACCCCTCTTTCTTGTAACCCACTGATCTCTTGGCCAGTGTGGGTATCTGTGACGGAGAGCACCACAGGTGAATTGCTCACCTGTGGAAAGTGTTTCCCCTCAATCCAAACACCAAAAAAGTGTTTCCCTCAATCCATTTTAGATTTAGCCTCCTGAAAGAGTTCTGCCCTGACTTGAACTCGAGTTTCCATTCCATATTTCACAACTCCTTCCTTTTCTTGTATTTTTCATGGCCTCCGTTCCTTGGGGTAAGGTCAGTCATTTCTTTTTAGTTCTTCTTTTGGGCCATCTGACGGGTACTTCTGGACATTCACCACCCACTACAGGCAAGTCATCCTTCCTCTACATTATGCCGGGTAGTGCCCAGTGGAGAAGTCACCTCCTCTTCCAGTCTCAAGGAGGGCAGTGTTTCCTTTATGGGTCTGACATGAGGATGTGGCGAGCTTAGGTTCTTCTGGGAGCTCTAAAGAACCACAGATGAGAGAGAGACTACTGAGGGGCTACACTGTTCGTATCTAGCACCCTTCATTTTTTCCATGCAGTTCTTGGCATCTTCCTGTTGATGCCTCCAAGGACCTGTTAGGTCTTATTACAACACAATTCAGATAAGCATCCAGCAGCTATTCAGTGGACATTATCTATATGTGCAACTAGTGTACCTGAATAAATTCCAGTGCAGTTTGCAGTGGTTATTGCTCCTGGGCGTGCCATTTGCATATGTGCCTGGGAATGCAGCACCTTGAGCCAGAGCAGAGCAACCCGAGCTGGCAGGAGATCCCAGGGGTCGGCCTGCCAGCCTGGGACTGCTCCAATCTGGCTCAACGTGCACGAGGGTGTTTCAGTGCAAGGCTAACTGGCAGGCAGCCCTCACACTAAAGCACTCTCATGCCCCAGCCAACTCCATCCGCGTCTACACATGTGCTGCTGTGCAGTAAATAATGCCACTGTAGGATAGTACTTGTGTCTGCAAGTACTATGCTATGGCAGAGTTAATTAGTTGACTCTGTCCTAATAGCACCACACATGTTGATGTTGCTGTTTTACCGCAGAGCTAATTAAGCAACTCCACAGTAAACGTTCTGTGTAGACGCAGCCAGCAAGTATGAACTTAGTTTAGCGACGTGATCAGACTGGCCAGCAGCAGGGATTGTATAGGCTTAAACACATCCAAAATGTGTTTCAAGTCTACTTTTTAGATATTAGAAGAGCTGCTGATGCATTCTGTTCTGATGCCTACCTTCCACAAAGCTACAGGCTTTTAACTCTTACTGATCCAACCCTGCCTTATGGCCCATTCTTCCCACTGCCCAACTCCTGGACGTCCTTTTTCCCCTCCATGTCTGATCCGGACCTCCTGTTCCAGCCCTGGGATCCCTCCTGTGCCAGTGCTTTTCCACCCCAATTTACAAGCATTCCAGCTAATTCATTATTACCTGTTACAGCACACACACACACACACACACTTTGATGTTCCTCACCCCTGATCCACAGCCCCCCACTATATCAGTCCTGGACTCCATCCACACACAGGAACCCCCAGCTCTGCTATGTCTTGTCGTGCATCCTGGTGTCCTGAATGTTAGCAGTGTCTCCCTTCTGTACTCATACATTCAGATGACTTGCAACTAAACAGCAGTTTAGAAGTGAGCATGCAGAGCAGCTAAACTTGACCTTCCCTATCTCTTGCTGGGCTCACTATGTGTGTAGTGCACAAGGGACATGTGCTAGCCTTAGGCTGCCAGAGAACAGAGCTAGCTGATTTCACTGCTAGAGTCATTCTTGGCTCATAACACTCTGGTGGGGGGGCGTTGCTGCTGATTTTAGAGTGTGACCTTAGTACATAAACTCGTACCAGGCTACAGCAACATTTTTGTGGTTTTTGTTTCTGCATCTGGATTAAGAACTACAACCCTGTCATGTATGTAAAGGGAGAGGACTGAAGGCAAGCCACCTCATCTGCCTGCACACAAGTTTCCACATCTGGAAAGTGGGAAGAATAGCCTTTCCTTTGTCTTACTTTAGTTCTGTAGGCCAAGGCCTGCCTCCCTCTGTGTCTGCTGTCATGCAAAAAAAAAAAAAAATTGGCCTCCACCTTTAGAGGTGAGGCCTCTCAGTGATGTCAAGGTACAAATCAGGGTGGTTTCCTTCTGGAGGGATTGGGCTTGATTCTGTTCTTGGCATTTCTGCACACTACTGTCAACACTTGCCTTCTTTTGGCCATTTACATAAGGAGATGCAGCTATTTCAAAGTCTTCCTACATTCTGCAGGCAATCTCCAGAGCAGAGGCACTTTGTGGAAAGTAAGTAGGGGAGAAAGGTTTCTCACCCTCCTGATCCCCAGGCTGTCCCTGCTCTGAAGGGCTTAAAATTGAAATCTCTCTTCAAGCTGATGCTAGCTCTGCCCCTCTCCCTTGCTGCTGAAGTCTACTTCCTCCAGCCTGGATGCTTTCTCCCTCTTTTACATAGAAACCTCTACACCCTGCCTAGTCATGCCACAGGCAGCAGTCCACGTGGAGGTCCATCAGACGGCCATTCTGCCCCTCTGCCTCAAGGTCCCAAACCAGGCATGGGACTTCATTGAGATACAGTGGTTCTCTGCCAGGGGAAATCACAGTATCCTGCTCTATCAATTGAATAACTGCACCAGAGAAGACCCCAATTGGTGGCAGCGCCACTGCAAAGCCAGCACAGAGGTAAGAGCAGAGCATCAGCTACGGATGGCCGTCCTGCCAAACGGCTCGCTGAGGATCTGTAAAGTGCAGGCTGAGGATGCTGGAACATACCGCGTGATAGTGAAAGGCAAAGACATGACTGACACCACTGGGCAAGTGAACCTAACCGTGACAGGAAGGTAACACAGGTGAGCTGGGGATGGACTTCCGGGCAGGACTGATGCAATTAGTGCAGAAATAGAAGAGACTGGAGAGGAGGAAAGAGTCCATCTTTCCTTCTCTCCCCTCCTCCTCTCAAGCATCTTAACAACCCAGTAGCAGGACACAACTTCTGTTGTTGCCCTGCTTTACTTGTGACAGGTTTGAGTGCTGTGCTTTGTGGTTGAGAGACAGGTTTGACCATCTAGTTTTAAGGTTAAGTTATTCAAAGAGTTATATGGTGGCCCAGACCAAGTAGTGCCTGTTCTTAACCTGGCATGAAAAATATGCAGCTGTGATCATGAAAGCAGTTTTCCTAAAGCGCACCCAGGGAGAACTGTTCTTCTGGCATGGTTCAGTACCACTGAGGTGCAGCGGGTTTAAGGCCACTTTATGGAAATGGGAGTCTCCTCCCTAGCTTGCTCCAAGGGCCTTATAGCTAAGGGTGAGCAAAAATCAGGGGGTGTCTGAACCCCAAGCCTCTGGGCTTGGGCCTGCAAGTAGGATGCCTGCCGAGGGATTTGGAAACATCTGACACCCCAGGTGGGGGTGGAGGATATTTGCAGGTAGTAGGGCCACATGTAGTTCTTGAACGATTGTCAGATTTGGAATGGATTGGGCTGGGAACACAATTTATTTATTTATTTATTTATTTATTTTTAAAGGAAAGATTCATATGGGATGGTGTGCATAGGGGTGATCTTGTCTCAGGTAGGAGACTGAACTAGAGGACCTCCAGAGATCCCTTCCAGCCCTCCTTTTATGAGATTTGGCACTATTATTATTCCTTCTTTGTCCAGGGAGGAGGGACAATTTGACTGCTAACACAAACCTTCCCCAGCCCCACACTTGCCAACTTTGATGCACTTTCAGGTGCGACATTTTACCTGCATTGTGGAAGGAGCTGGTTTGCATATTTATCAGAGATTATGCACTACCCTGACCTTGGAACCAAAAGAACGTGGGGGTTGGGCACCCCTGACAGGGCTTGCACGATGAATGCTGCTGGACAAAGCCCCTCCTGAGGTCTTCTTGCAGGGCAGTAGCATGCCAAGTCCCATGCACCCTACCTGGCCAGCAGGTCCCACCCTGCTCCAGTGAGGCCTTACTCTAGTCCCCTACGACTCACGGACAGGATCCAGCCCATAAAGATGCTGAGGGAATCAACAGCGTGCTCCAGCCACAGCAGCAGTAGCAAAAGCGCCCACAGAGTCCTGTTCCCTGCTGCAATCAGTTTATTCTGTCTGCTGCAGCAGAGGAAGTATCCCCAGAGTCCTAGGGCCTGCCTTTTTTCTGTTCCCTTGGCAACATCTGCTGACTGCCAAGGCCACAGCCTGCAGCAGGGGCTGGGTTGCAAGCAGCCCATAGTAGGAAGAGGTTGCCAATCCCCATGGGCAGATCTAGGATTTTGTAAATGGTAGTGCAGGAGAAGTGACCAGCCCTACAGGGACAGCTGCATGCCCTGCTTTCAGCATCCCCACCTTCCTCCACCAGTGTGCAACAGACCATGCCCTGGGGGGTAGCAACCAGGATCTATAAGTCCTTGCATTAGTAAGAATCGTCCTTCCACCTCTTCCTTTTCATCCATGTTCAGTGATGTGTCCCCTCCTCTCTTCCCATTCCCCCACCCACTGTTGTCTGTCCCCTGCTGACCCAGCGGCAGGGATGGGGAGGCTCCTGCTACGCTCCAAGCTGGGCTGCACATGGTGCCAGGCTCAGCCAGAGTCAACCTCGGAAGCAGAAGTAGGTGGGTTCCTTTCCCCTGCACCTCCAGGCTGGCAGGGAGGAGGAATCCACCCACCACTGGTGCTGTCCCAAGCAGAGGTCCTGGCTGGAGCTGGCAGAAGTGATTCTGGAGCTTGCCTTTCCTATGGCCCTGGGATAGCAGGTCGAGCAGCAGCAGTGTGGGGTAGGGTGAGAGGAGGTGTTGCTGGACTGGGCAAAGAGAAGGAAGAGGGGAATTCTTATTTGCTTTGAAGCTTTAAAAGAGAAAAGTTCCCAACTGCTGCTGCCATGGTGTGGACATCTGCACCACTGCTGCCCTTCTGGATCCACCTCTGTTCTCAGGCAGGGGCAGCTCAGCTAGTGGCATGAGTAGTCTTAGTGCATGGCATGCAGCAAATTGAGGAGGGCAGGGACAGAAAGGCCCGAGAGCAGAGCAGCAGATCAGGCAGGGAGCATAGGACAGGAAGCAGAGCAGTAGAAGGGGAAGGAGATCAGAGGCACTTGGGGAGGGTGTGGGCTAGTTTTGTGGCATGCCTACAACTGTACTGGCCCCTACTGCTCTAGGGATGGGGAGCAGTGGGGGCCAGTATGTGTCAGGGCAGTGGGGAGGTTGTTGAGGGTGGGGTGGATTTGGGGCAGCTTGTCCTCCTTAACGACTTCCCTTACTCTTTGTCCCTCTCAATGCCTGTCCCTTCTTATCCTCCCTCTGCACTGCATGCCCCTTGATCTCTGATGCTGCCCTTCCCACCCATTATCTACAGCAGCAGCTGCTCCCTTTCCCCCCTGGGGCCTCCCAGCTGGATGTACCCACACTATAGGTGCAGAGAGGTCTGGCCCAGCAAACTAGTTTGTATAGACCAGTGTGGGAGAGCTGGGTCCAGCCCCTGGCTTTGCCCCTCACCCTGGGGTCTGTCACCGACTGCCACATGCCTCCACTGCAAAGCAGAGGTGATGGTCTATTGTCCACCTTGGCTACCAAGTGCTCAGGGCTAGGTAATCACACCCAGATAGTGGGACACAGGGCCTGCTGCAGGGAACAGAAGGAGGAACTGCAGCTCAGTTAACTCCAGGGCAGTAGCCCTGCAAGAGACCCATAGCTGGGCTGGCAGCCAGGATACAGTCTTCTGACTCAGGCGGAAGCCCTGACCACAGCCTGCCCTCCTCCACCCTGCGCAGCAGGAAGCCCAGCCTTGCCCATTCCACCTGGCTGAGCTCCAAGCCCCGAGGAGACTCTGGGGGACTGAGAGGGAGATAGCCAGACTGAGGGGAGTCTTCAGTCCTTTGCCATCTTGTGCCCCAGGCCCTGCTGGGTGGAAGAAGTGCTGGGTAGGACAGGATGAGCAAGTGAGCACAAGTCAATTTGAGAGGGGTGGATGGAAGGACATGTTCCTTAGACTCAGCATCACTTCAATGAGAGCAGCACTGACTTCCTCTGGATCTGATGGTTGTTCTGCTTCCTCCCTAGTCTGATTCTTCACCTGCTCCGAGCCACCCCAAGATGACAACACAGGACAGACTGGCCACCCCATGCTGACCTCTGCTCCCTGGTGCAGCTCCTGGCCCATCAGTCCATCTGCTCCAGTTCTATCCCCCGTAGGCACCCAAGTTAGGGGCACCTACAGTGCACTGGGGCAGTTGCACAACATTGCAGTAAGGCTGGGAAATCCCAGCCTGGACACCCAGACCCTTGCGCATGACACTTTAGGCACCATGATCCCAGCCTTAATGCAGTTGCTCAGTTGATGCTCAGCCAGCAGGGGTCATGTGATAAACCAGAGATGAATGGAGAGTGCTCCAAAAGGACTAAGCCTGTTCTCAAACAGTATATTTTTCATGGTGTGAATTAAGTGTCTTTGTTTTTTGTGTGATAACCATGCCTGGAACTTGTTTTTTCCCGTTACATGCTTAACTACTCGTAGAAGTCTGGCCCTCTGTGACAGGAGCTTATACAACAGCCAAGAGGGAGATTAGATGGGAAACCAATCCGAAAATAGATTGACCCTGAGAATAAAACAGAGACTAAAAGATTGCAGAGCAGTTCACAATCTTCAAAAATAATGACTCACCCAGCTGAGAAATGCAGCTGCCTTTAGAGTGGGGCCATCCATTGTTGGGGTGGAATATGACAGCTGTGAGTGCACCAGTAACAATTCAAGGACTGCTGGCATGTTCCTGCTGTGGTATACAAATTTCAGGATAAAATTGCAGGAGAAGGCACTGAACTGGCACACAACTTCTGGATTCTGTGCCAACCTCTACCACCAATTCCTTGTGTAACCTTGGGCAAACTTCTCTGCCTTAGTAGCCACTTTGCAAAAATGGCCCATGGATGAAGAACATGCAGATGTAGGGCACAGTCCATAAGCACTAATGCCTACTACTAATTACAGTGCATCAGGCAACAAGAACCCTATAAACTAAGATTTATGACAGCACATTCACCTGCAGCCAAAGGAGTCTAATGCCCCCTGCGGGTCATTTTTGAAATCCTGCTATCCCTTCTCTCCCAGTTCCTTTCAACTGCAACCCTTCCTCACATTTTATCTGAATCCCCAAATCAAAGTTTTGAAGGGGAATGAAACTTTCTGGAGCAGATATATTATTTCTTAAAACAAAACCTGCCCTGGTCTAGTACCTGCATCTGTAGAGAGCCCGAGCAATATGGCTGGAAACTATTTGATTCGAAAGGGTTGTCTACTATGAAATTTAATGATGGTTGGGCTGGGGCAGCAGAAAGGACTTTAAAAAATAAATAATAAAAATAAGCATACGGGACAGTTGGGAGCCAAAAAGCTCTTGGAAAGCTAGTGGGGATTTGGGCACCAACCAGCAATTCCTCTCAGTCTCCTTTGACCAGCTCGAGCCCTACCTGTTAGAAATTCTCCATTTCACTGCTAATCTCACTGGTGCTCTCAGGAAGACAAAACAACGCCCCCCCGCCCCCCCCCCAAATAAAAATAAAACAACAACCCAAAACAAAACCAAAAAAAGCCCTATGACAAGTCCCCAAATAGAAACCTGAGAAATTCATTTACATCTTCTCAATCGCTTGGGACAAGTTCAGGGACTTGTCTCCACTCCAGGACTAGAGTTCACGCCCTTCCTCAGACTCATGGAAAGTTAAAGATGGTAAAAGTCCCCAAAGGTAGAAAACAAGCTTTTTAAAATTATTATTTATAAATTAAGTTTATTCTCTACCTGTAGGGACTTTTACCATCTTTACATTTTTCCTGAGCCTGAGGAAGGGTGTGCATGCCCAAAAGCTTGCAGAAAAAAAAAGATCATTTTTTTGTGATTGCTTAATTGGTCTAATAGAAGGTATTATCTGAACCAAGAGCTCTAGGGTTTTACATTTCTCTACAACACCACACTGTGGTCTCAGAGCCTTGCAGCCAGTTCTCTCCATCAATCTTTCAGTGCCCATATGGCCACCACATCAATTCACCCCTCCCTTTGGCCTCTGTTATACCACTCCTATGCAAGACTTTTCCCTAGTCCTTACCTCAGAAAAAGCCCACTAAAACTAACTCTGTTTAAATCTTCTGTTGCCAGGTTTGCCTTACCCCATCTCCCCAGACATCAGGTCACCTTAGAAAACTCCTCACTTCAAACACACTTAATGCATCTCTCTTATCTGTTCAGGCCCCTTCAGAACTCACAGCTCTTTGTTACACTCCATTACAAAACCCAACAGGATTTTCCCCAAAGTGCCCTAACCTGGCCCCAAAGAGGCCTTCAAGAGTACAGCCCTTTCCCCATGACCAAGACTCCCTCCCGCTCTGCCCACCTGGAGGGCTCAGGCAGCTCTATAGCAGGCTTCTCCTACTCACTGGCAGGATCCAGCACCAATGGCTCCGCTCTTTTAACACTTCCATCCATGGGACTCACACACCTGACAACAAACTGCTTGCCTGCAAGTCACCCCACTACAGTCAGGGATGCTTCTCACATAGGGAATACAACCCACATCAGTGTTTGTAGCACAGGTTTCAAAGGATAAGCTCCACTCCAGGGGTCCCCAAGTCTTTTTGAACAACTCACCCCCAGCAAGAGTCAGTTTTGCACAGCCCACCCTGCCTCTTTATCAGCACAGCTTAATCTGAAAAGGAGGGGTGGGGGGCACTTGGTAGGAGACAGGGACCAGCAGGTAGGATGGCCATCATAGAGGACATCCTGGTGTTCTGCTACTCTGTCCTCTACCAATACGAAACCCAATGCCTTGGAAAAGAAAAAAAGAGAGGACATAAAGACATCCAGTTGCGTATCGATAGAGGACAGAAGACAACCAGACTGTCCTCTATGATGGCCACCCTAGCTGCAGAGCACATCTGAAAGCCTCAGTGGGCTCCTACACGTAGCCTGGTAGATTCTCAGCTTTCCAGGAATCCACTGGAAAGTGCAGCAGGAGCAGCCCCAAGGCACTCGCTGGGGGCCAAAATCAACCCTGTCGCACCCTGGGTATCCTCCTCACTGCCTCCCCTGCCATGCCTCCATGTCATTTGTAGGTTGTTTTGGGAAGCTGGACCCTGGAGTCCTTGAGTAAGCCTACCAGATCTGTACTGGTCCCAGCCCAATCTGCCTAACCAGATGCTCCGGTCTCACCCTTGCCAAGACAGAGACCTTAATTCTGCTGACTAGCGCTTCATGACTTGCTTTGCTGGTGCCTGTGTTTCTCCCATACTGATTGTGGCCATGCTGGCCCTAGACACATCCTCACAGCCCTAACTGTGCCTACATGGTACTAATCACCAAGTGCTCCTTTAGCCATGTCCATGCCTCACAGGCATGCCTCTTCCTCTGTGTTTTAGGAGCTCCTACCCCTCTAGGCACTTGTCCCTCACCTGTCTCTGACAGGTCACCCTTCAGGGCATCCATCTCTCCAGGCATCTGTCCACTGCATTGGTCCCCCTGACCCTGCCTCCCTGCACTGGGCCCTCGAATCAGTCCCACAATGCAGGGTGCCTCCCTGGCACCCCCCCTGCCAGCAACCTTCCTAGGGCTCCCCTTTTTGGTCTCCTCCCCTAGAGCCACCCGCAGCCTCACAGCAAGAAACCAAACTTACGTGAGCCAATTGCATTTTAGCTGAAAGCCTTAACCCATCTTGGGTCTCTGCTTCCCCACAAACCCAACCCCTAATCAGCAGGGGATCCATCCCTCTCAGCCCCCAGGGGAGTTTCTAAGCCAGCAGCCTTTTTCCTCTGGGAGCTTGGGCTCTCAAGAGCTCTGCCCTCTCCAACCTTCAGGCCCAGATGGCTCAAGAGCTGCTTATAATTCCCCAGGAGCACCACCCCTTCCAGTCACCTGCTTCTCAACCTGCACAGGACTTTCCCTTTAGCTAAGGAAGGACTGCAGTGCAGGAGGAGTAGGCTGCTTATCCAGAGCACTGCTCTATTGGGCTACAAGCAGGGGCATGCGTTTCCGGCAGCAAATTTGTGCCACTACTTTGTGCTGCAGTGCACGCTCCTAGTCCTGCATTTTGCAGCAGGAGACGTTGTCCTGCTGCTCCATATCCTTCAAGCAGAGCTGGCTGGGGCACAGAGGGTGACTCAGTGCAGGGCTAGCTGGCAGGCAGCCCCCATACTCAGGCACCGCATGTCCCAGCCAGCTGGGGAGTGGCATGTGGAGATGAGGAAGCAAACAGCCAGCCCAGGGCTGCCTGCTTCCTCATCTTTGCACACTGAGAAGCCCCTGCACCCCAGATTTCATAGATTTCATAGACATTAGGGCTGGAAGGGACCTCGGAAGATCATCGAGTCCAGCCCCCTGCCCAAAGGGCAGGAAGTCAGCTGGGGTCACAGGATCCCAGCAAGATAAGCATCCAGTTTGCTCTTGAAGGTGTTCAATGTAGGCGCTTGAACCACCTCCAGTGGCAGGCTGTTCCAGACCTTGGGGGCTCGG